ATTTTATAGTGGCCTGGGTGCTGTGGGCCTGGCACAGGTGGCCACTACCAGAAGCCAGGCAGGGGTCTCCAAGTGGTGTTCACCAGGGTCTTTCCCCACCTGAAAGGTACTTGGCCACCTCTACATCTCCAAGTGGCAGTGGTTTCTGGAATGTTTTTCAGGGGCTTTCCCCACCAGAAAGGTGCTTGACCAGCTCTGGCTCCAAAAAAGGTTGGCTTTTCATTTTATAGTGACCTGGGTGCTGTGGGCCTGGCACAGGTGGCCACTACAAGAAGCCACCTTGAATAGTTTCATCAATTCCAAGGAAGGGGTCTCCAAGTGGCATTGGTTTCTAGAATGTTCCTCAGGGTATGTCCACACCTGAAAGGTACTTTACCACCTCTGGCTTGAAAAGAGCTTGGTTTTTCGTTTTATAGTGGTCCTGGGTGCTGTGGAACACCACAAGAAGCCACATTGAACAGTTTCTGTCAATTCCAAGGAAGAAGTTCTCCCAGTGGCAGTGGTTTCTAGAATGTTCCCCAGGGGCATTCCCCACCAAAAAGGTACTTGGCCACCTCTGCATCTCCAAGTGGCAGTGGTTTCTAGAATGTTCCTCACGGGCTTTCCCCACCAGAATGGTGCTTGACCAGCTCTGGCTCCAAAAAAGGTTGGTTTTTCATTTTATAGTGGCCTGGGTGCTGTGGGCCTGGCACAGGTGGCCACTACCAGAAGCCACCTTGAATAGCTTCATCAATTCCAAGGCAGAGGTCTCCAAGTGGCATTGGTTTCTAGAATGTTCCCCAGATTCTTTCCCCACCTGAAAGGTACTTTACCACCTCTGGCTTGAAAAGAGCCTGTTTTTCATTTTATAGTGGTCCTGGGTGCTGTGGACCACTACCAGAAGCCACATTGAACAGTCTCTGTCAATTCCAAGGAAGAAGTTCTCCAAGTGGCATTGGTTTCTAGAATGTTCCTCAGGGTCTTTCCCCACCTGAATTTACCACGTCTGGCTTGAAAAGAGCTTGGTTGAGACTATAAACTCAAAACTCAAAACTCCACAAATTCAAGTGCTTTCTATAGAATCAGAATCCAACCTACCTCACTGTAAAACATCCATCCACTCTAAAATAAACTCTCAACCTTCTACTTTTCGAAGGTTCTGAGACTATAAACTCAAAACTCAAGACTCCACAAATTCAAGTGCTTTCTATAGAATGAGAATCCAACCTACCTCACTGTAAAACATCCATCCACGCTAAAATAAACTCTCAACCTTCTACTGCTCCAGGTTCTCTCTATAGAATCAAAACCTCTGTCCTCTATAAAATGCCCTCAATTTTCATATATTCTCTATAGAATGAAGGTGCTCAACCTAGTGATCCATCAACATATGATTCTCTCACCTCAGATATCCTCAGAATGGATCTTTTTCAGGTAGGTTGACTTTTGATTCTATAGAAAATCTCTATAAAATGCTAGGTCATTTTGGAGCTCGACCTCCCCCCATTCTATAGGGTTTATTCGATGGGGTATACAAAAACCATCAAAAACCAGGTCGACCATCCTTTAAATGGTCTTGGAAGTCGGTGTACAGATGATCTTCCATGTGGTTGCTGCTTCGCTGAACAAAAGAAAGACATTTCGGTGGAATCCATCTCGGAAGTCGCCCGCTCGGACCAGCTCAATAAAGTTCAATAAAGTTACTTACAGTGGTTTCAGAGGTTCGATGGCACAGACCCCAAGATGTCCTGAAAAGATGGGGGTCCATATAAACCACCTCTTTGGGGTCTGTGCCATCTACTCTCAATCCACTATAACACAAAAATCATTGTAAGTCCCCTTGCCTTGCTCGGTGCATCTGAGTGAGGAAAATGGCTGATCCCGAAAACTGACAATCCCAAAACCGTGATGCCACCCTCCAAACCTTCCCTCCAAGCATGTTTTGGCTCTGCTTGGAGTGCCAATGCCCTGCCCTGTTCTTTGTCTTCTGCCGACTGTCTGCACAAAATGCCATTCCACCAAACCATCTTTGTTGGATAGACTGGATAGAGGGTACAGTAACTCCATGAATTCCAAAGGAGTTTGTGGAGTCATCCGCGAATGATTATATATGTTTTTAATACCACTTCAAGAGGGGGTGGGCTTACAGGAAGTCGACGAGAAAAAATGGATAAAAAAGGCACTTCAAGCCACTCCAAGAGTTTTTTGGCTTCATCTCCCCGATGTGGTCATGGGCGCAAAAGCGACACCCTTCCGGTGTAGTTGCACCGCCCTCCCGGCCACGGATCTGCCTGTGCCAGGTCCGCCACGGCCACCAGATCACTCTCCTGGGGCCGCTGCTGGACGTTTATGCCCCGCTGGGACCCACGAATGAGCTCTGCTTTGGTTGAGAAGCCATCACCGATTGACAGAATCGAAATGGAAGAGTTCCGGTCCATTTCGAGAAGGACCCGTTTCCCTCTACAAATGGGATCTGCTCAGCTTAGAGGGAGGGTAAAAATGAAACAGATGAAAGTGCTGATCTCGGTGGTGGATGGTTGATGGTGGCAGCTGTGGCCCGATGGATTCTTGGAACATGATCCAAGGGTATGCCCGATGGTTGTTGAATGTGTTTAAAGTTTGCGGTATCATATTGAAGCCTATATATATATATTATAAGCAGATTATTAACATCATGAGGTCATGAGGTACTTCAGTTGGGGGCTGGGTCACACAAGGGGGGAATTCCGCATCGCTCAATGCAGCCGCAATAGGGAAGAATATGGCAGTGGGTCTGAGTCACAACAGGGGCACCCAGGTTGACCCGAAGATGGACCGATTCCTCTATAGGCTATAGGGATGTCAACCTACCATGGTCTGGTGGAGGTGCCATGACTCACAGCCAGATCATTCAATTCGCACACTCCACCCCTTCAAATGCTACAGGATCTGTCCAGCGTCAAAGTCGGGAGCGGTTTGGGGAGCGCGAAAATTTAAGCGCCCGTGTGCATCCGAAGACTAGGGAGTTTCCGCTTCAAGATGGGTCTAAGAGCTTGGTTGTTGAAACTCACTCCCATGGGCAAAACGAGGCACAACAACACGCGGACGGAAACAAACCAAAGGTCACCTCCTTTGGTCACATGAGTCAGGTGAGATGTTGACTGACTGTTTCACACAGCGTCACCCAACTTGCCAAGCCGGTTCAAAATTACTCAACCAACCGAGATCTGATAATTATCTAGTCTATGATGTCTCTTATTCTTACCCCCAAAGCCCCGCCCCCAGGATGAGGCTGTCACAGTAATTTCCCTCTTTGAGAGATCTCCAAAATGAACCCGTTCAGGCATACAAACACGAACATTCTTCGAGCATGGTGATTGTCATGAAGAATTTGTTGGTGTTTGAATTCATGTGAGCGCACATGAATGTTAGATTCTTCGATTCAGATCTCTCACCATGGAATCTAACCCGTTCAGGTGATGTTCGATGGGATTCCCATGGATGCGCGGGGACGCCCCGGCCCCGCCACCGTGCTGCGCCAGTGGCTGCAGAATCCACGGCAAGCCCTTGGGCGGAGAATCATTTCGGGTGACAAAGATGGAAAAAAGAAGCGAAAGTTGTAGACCAGAACCTTCCAAGTTTTGTGGTCTTTGGACACCCCTTAAGCTCTATATAGACACCTCTGGAAAGGTCCTGGGATAGAAAAGATATCTAGATCGTAGGGTAGGGTAGGGTAGGGTAGATATAGAGATAAGGTGATCAAAAATGAGTACATGCAGTAGATGGACTCAGTATGGCGATATCATCAATGACCAGATTGGCTCAATTGGACCGTTCGATGGACCAATCGGGGCATCCTCTCCTCTGATGGACCAATTGGTGCCAAACACATTCATGCCGACTTCAGGGTCACCATCCCTCCCCGTTTGAAACACCAAAAGTCCGCTCCGAGTCCGAGCTATGACTCAGTTCAACGGAACATATCTGCAGTCATCTGCACTCTACTCTACTAATGAGAAGTACGGAACCTCCAAAGCATTCCAAAACCCTCCAAATCAGTGACAACTCATGTTCCATATGGATCTCTTCGGAGTGCTATGATCCACCCAGAATCCCCATCCAATCCGACCCAAAAAATCAAACAAATGCATTCCAGCACACCAACAAACTTCAAGATTTCCATGACATGCTCCGTGCTCATCTTGGCAGCCAAGAAAATGGCACCTCAGTCTGCAGCTTGCTTCTCATGCTTCACTCACGGAAACATTGCATTACTGGGCACCCTGTCTCTGTTGTGAAAAATCCTTTTGGTGAAATATGTGTGTGAAATCCATGGACGTTCCAATCAGCCAGTCCTGAACTGCTTGTGATACTCACACACTTCGAACTTTGGTTTTCAGTTAACGCAATTGTCTCGTTGGGAAGGAAGGTGACAGAACCGCAAGGTGGAAGAGTCGGCGACAAACAGTATGGTTTAACCGTGTTTTCAGTGGCACTCAAAGCGGCGGCTAAGCTGCTGCAGATCTGCGGAGGGAAACCTGTTTCGGGGTGGTAGCATGAAGGACCATGGCATCAAAACACAGCAAAGAAGAGTGGAGTGTTGTCACGGCGCAGGTACGTCGGCAAGCGTCCTTGCCGATATCCTAGGATCATGTGAGGAGCTTCGTTGGATGGAGCCTCACATGTCCTCTCCATCCCCCTGCCCATGTAAAGTGGAAAGAGTGGTGGTGGAAGACCCTTTGTCCAGGGTTGGACACACACAGGTCGCCGCTTTCGGCGCTTTTTTCAAAAACCGGTGGCAGGCGTGATAGTTATGCCCCTTTTGGACATATAGATTCACGAGTTCGGCCGCAGCAGCGTCAGCGCTGGAGGGTGGAAATGTGTATTTTCGAATGGTGTGAAGTCATGATTGGAGGCCTGATAGAGCCAAGCGCTGGCTCCCGGCAGTGGTGGAGTCCCGGATTTTCCAGGGTTGAGAAGGTTGCATGTAGGTGATGGTGCGTTGTGGGAGGTCGATGTTGAAACCGAGGAGATGAAAATCCTTCACCGGTTCTAGTTCCACAGGGTCGCCAAAGAAATTGTGGTGGATAAGGGTTTGGATAGCCGGGTGTTGAAGGAAATGTTCGTTGTGGACAATGAAGCGGTTGTCGACATAGCGATAGTAAGTAAAGTGGAGGTCTGTGTGTTGAAGGAGGTTGTTGTGGATCTGATGCCAGGAATGCTCAATGAGGGTGATGGCAACGTTGCATAGGGCTGGAGAGAGCTGGGATCCAATCCCGGCCCCTCGGATTTGTTTGTAAGTGTTGTTGCAAGCCCGGAAAATGCATGTGTTGAGGGCGAAAGCCACGATGGTGGTGATGTCGGAAGTCTGGATGGTGCGTTGAGTAGGGTGTTTCCGATGGTGTCTGCCAATGTGTGAGTGGTGGAAAGGATTGCCTGTGGCCTGGACATCCACCGTTAGGGTGTGTGTGGATTGCTGTTGTTGCCAATGGTGGACGAGGGAGTGGACTGCATCGATGAGTCGGTGCTGGGGGACGGAGTTGAAAAAGCCGACCAGGTCATCGTTGGTGGCGTGTAGTGAGATGTCTGGTGGGGTTTGGGTGAGGTAACTGTGAAAGTGGTGCCAAAGCTGGGGAATGGACATTTGGCCTGGATGTTGAGGGTAGAGGTGTTGGAGGATAATGTCAAGGGCACGGCTGGTGATGCGTAGCAGGTTGCCACTTAGTGATTGGAAGTATGATATGATTGTACGGCCTTTTTGCCAGTGCTTCTTCTCTTTGAGGTGGACAACCCCGTAGGGGATGTTGAAGTCTTTTCGGAAGCCCCACTTGTAGCGGGTGCGCAGGATGGAGGGGACTGTGGCGGCCAGGTGGTCGTGGATGTTGGCGGTAGTGATGTAGGGAAGTGGTTCGAAAAGTTCGGGGGATTGCCAGGTGTTCAAGGCTCCAGTGAAGTATTGTCGAGGGCAAAACAGCCGAAGTTGTTGGAGCTCATGATCGGCATGGTGGAGCAATGTGTGTTTGCCCAAATGTTCTTGCAGTTGACGAAGCAGGCGGGCCGTAAAACGGGGTTGCTGCTTGAGGTGTGTGTTATGAAGGCGCCATTGGTGCTCAAGGAAGGGTTGTAGATGCTGAACGAGGGATGGTGGAAGCCCTTGTAGTTTGAGCCATTTGGTGTAGGCCGTCTTGAAAATGAGGAAGTAGCGAGCTTTGCTTGGGTAATAGGTGCTGTTCATATTGGCGTTGAGAAAAATGCCGAGGTGTGTAGGGAGTTGGAGTTGGTCAAGTGTAAGGATGTAGTGGCCGTTGATGGTAGGGGTATCGGGATCCTGCAAGAGGGTGCGCAGGTGATCACATGCACAGGGAAGGTCTGCTGGATCTGGTGGGGAGTGGAGGGTGTCTTCCCATGTGCGGTGGTTGTGCAGGTGAGAGCGGAGGGTTTTGTGGGCGGCTTCTCGCAGTCTGTGGGAGGGGAGGTGGAGGGGAATGGTAAAATGCTTGTGCTGCTGGATGGTAGTACGAAGCCACTGTTGGCAGTGCTTGGTAAAGTCGTCATGGGCCAAGAAGGGCACTGTCAGTGGGATGTTTGGTTTTGGTGGCGTGAGGTTGCGGTAGATCAAGGCTTTGTTGAGGATGTGGAGGGCTCGGCTGCGGCCAGGTTCTTCCAGGTTTGCGGCCATGCGCCGGATTGCATAGACTTCGAGGTCCGTGTGGCGTCCGCTTCGTAGCTCTTTAGCTGCTTCAAAGGAGGCTGCGGTGTGTTTGGTGAGGTTGCGAAGAAGTTGGAGGGCGTGATGCTTAGTGGAGGTGTAGAGGTGTGGTTCTCTGAGGGTGTACTGGCGTTGTCGAAGGCGTCGGAAAAGTCGTTTGTGGGTGGCTAATCTGGAGTAGAAGTGGGCTCTGTGTTTCGCGAACTGCCATCCCTGAGCTTTGAGTTTGAGGTGGTGGGAAATGAAAGGCCAGTTGAGCGGAGGCATCCAGTTTGCGATGTAATGGTGCTCTTGGATCCAGGCTTGGTCGTATGTGTCATGGGAGGTAAATTGAATAGTGGTGTAGTGGTGGATGTTGTTATGTGAATGCCAATAACGTAGGGAGAGTTCTGCAGAAATGGGAATGTTATTTTGGAGTTGTTTGAGTTTGGCGCGGCGATTATGCTCGCGGTGGGGGATGCCAATAGCTGTGGAGCCAACATAGAAGTGGCCATGCTGATGGTAGCAGCGTTGGGGCTGGTCTGGATTGAAGTGGAGCTTGATGTAGACTGAATTGGAGGAGAGGAAGTTGTGGTAGTGGTAGGTGTGTGGCAAAATGTGGAGCTGGCGGAGGCGGTTGCGCCATTGTTGTGAGCGACGGGTGTTGGAAGGGTATGCGAAAAGGAGGGTGATATGGAGAAGGCCGGTTGCAAAGATGGCCTCGGCACGGTCGATGTATTGGGTGCGGTGGATGAGGATAGAAAGTGCTCTGTGCAGGTGGAAGAGTTGGGTGAGGTTGGTGTGGCTGGGTTGCTGCTGGGCCAGAATGGCGAGTCAGCAACCGATGGCTGCTCCAACTCCCACCAGCTGTTGTAGGCTGCGAATGGGGAGTCGGTTGACCCGGTTGAGGGGTAGGCCATACTTGGTGGCTGCTTCTTTTAGCTGCTGCGTGGTGACTTTGCTTGTTTGCAGCAGACGGATGACGTCCTTCGCAGCTTCTTGGATGGTGGGGTCGAAAGTAGTGACCCATTGTTGGATCTCTGGGTGGTTCCAGCCTTCGGGGATATCGTCTTGCAGCGTGGGGTGTGGTGGTTGCAAGACGTCGGTGAGGGCTGGTGGTTTCGGTGGTGGTGGAGTGGGTGCGTGAGATGGGGCGGCTGGTGCGGAAGATCGGCTGGTGTTCTTGACTGGTGTGAGTGGGTTGCCCAGGTCTTGGAGTTTCTGACGTGCACGAGCCAGTTCGTCGTTGGTGTTTTTGAGGGCGCGTAGAGCGGAGCCTTCCGCAGGTGCTGGAGAGTGGGTTTGCAGTTGGTCAATAAGCAGTTTGATGAGGGGAGCGTGAAACGCTCGGGCATGGGTGGTTTTGTTGGGAATGTCTGTGCTCTGTTGGGTGTGGAGGGCCTCCGCGATGCCGTCAAGGTCAAGGCGGTTCTCACGGAGTTGTTGGAGAAAATGGGTCACGAAAACTGACTCCGCTATGCTTCTGGTGGCAATAAAACCTGTGAATTTGCCGTTGCTCAGGGTACGGGCGGTGAACTCGGAGGTACCGTGGTAAGCCAATTGCCACGGGAAAACCTCGACCTGCTTTTCGAGACCACTGGGTGGGTTGGATTGTACGATGTAGTTGGTGGCCGTGCAGGGTGTTGGAGTCCCAATGTTGCTCGGTTGGGTTCCAGGTGTCGGGAACAGGTGGTGTGGGGGATGGGATGTGTGGGGGCGGTGGGGCAGGCGCTGTGTTGCCACGTGTGGTGGGTGGTGGCGGTGGGCTGTGTTGGAAAGTCGATGGTGGTGGAGTGACGGGTTCGGCCGTTGGCAGGGGTGGCGGTGGCGGAGGTGGAAACTCCGGCTGTGAGGTGGATGCCTGGGGTGGGGGTGTATGCTGCGATGGCGGTGTGTACGGTGGAGTCACATACGGGTTAGAGTGGTGGACGTGGTGTGTACGAAGTGCGTGAGTGAGTGGGCCGTAGGTGCCTGTGGGGCTGTAGGCGTGGTGTGCGGTGGTGGGAGGAGAAGTTGTGGTATCTGGGTTGGTGAGCTGCTGATGATGTTGCTGCATCAAATATTTAATGATTCCAGTAGTATTGCTGCCACTGCGCGTCAATGGTGGCTGGGCGAAGTATCACTGGATCGTGGGCGTGGAGCACCGGTTGTTGATTTGAGCAAGCTGAACATGCGAGAACAGGTCGGGGAAAGTCAAATGAGGGAGCAACAGTGGCGTTAAAACAGTCATGCTGGCGGAAACGGAGGGTTCAAAAGAGGAAAAACCCCGAAAACCGCTGAGAAAACAGGAATGCCGCAAAAAACAAGAGAGGTTTTCCATGTGGATCCAAAAACCATGGTTAGTATCAGACTGTCCACTGAAGCGCGCCGTTTTTTCGTTGTGCGAAGTGAAACTGAGCGTGTTGGTCTGCGGAGTAAGCTGAGCCAATGTCCGAAGATGATGGTGGGCATGTTGGTGGAAAGCTGTGGTAAAACCAGGCCTACATAGGAAAACTACGGAGGGAGTGAGGGTAGGAAAAGTTATTGTATGAATCAT